TCTACTACTCTATTTGCTGTGCTAAATTTGAAAATTAGCTTTCCTCGGGGACCTGCTGACTGAGATTTTGTATTAATGTTTATTTGCATGTTATTTTTTTATTTTGAAAATACGTATTTTATTATAACGAAGTTGTTATTCAAACTAAAGGTATATAGGTGTCTAAAGTACATTATATTACAACTGCACCTCTTTCAGAATATTTCTGTACGTATACATTTATTAATAGTAAATTATACATCAGTCTAAAATACCCCAAGCAAGTTTAACAAAAGATAGCTTATTATTCAGCTGTTACTCCTAGCCAATCCAATGGTTCCATTTTCAAAATTTGTAAAATCTCTGAAATAAAGCAAAAAATTATTAATCTTTTTCTTTGAAACTTCCTTTCAGGGCATGTTGAACGCTTTGCAATTAATAATTGTTGCAAATATTTTTTTATATAAAATGAAAAACTTGTTAAGTAAGAAATAATTATAACAATTATTTAATATACCCGCTAGTTAATTTTATTGTGAAACAACTTATTATTATATTTTTCCAAAATTTGGGAAAGTGCACGAATGCTGTGATCCGAATAATTCGAGATAACGGATTAAACTTCACTCTAATGCTTTTTCAGGAATTCGTGAAAATACATATTTTTCATCTTCACTTGCAAAAATTATACATTTTTTATCTTCACCTAACAGTTATGTAGATGTACGAGTTGGAAAAAAAGTGTAAATCAAGATTTTTCGACCAGCGAAAGCGATGCCGTATTCTGATAAAACGTCCCCATGGCAAACCACGGGCTGAGAATCGATCTATTATCGTAATACTCCTCTTCTTTTCTCTGTCCCACATGCAAAAATGAATAGGTAGAGCTGGGCGTGATCATCATAAGATGCGACTTTGTTCGACCGTGAGGGAATAATTTTGGAAGAGAACAGCACGCGTGTGTTCCTCGATTCGTTTTTTTAACGAAAAAGGTAAGAGGGAGAGAGATCGAGTAAACGAGTTAGGCTATAGGGAAGCTCTGGGAAAATGGAGTCGACCGCTCGTAAAAGTAGATGCACCGAACTGGGCTCGGACTCATTCTGGAATGCAGATAAGGTACGCCTAGGACAAAGTTAAATTGGCGAGATGCAACCTGGTAGTGGGGATAAACTAGCATTATAAAATAGTGTATAACGCAAACAATGTCCCGTGAAAATGGAAATATTATCTCTCTCTCTCTCTCTCTCTCTCTCTCTCTCTCTCTCTCTTTCCTTTACAAATACCTATGTAAATATCAGGTATACTTATTTTCACGATTCAAGTTCTTTTAAAGCAAGGTGTTTTGTAGCCTTCATTTTTTATTGCCTCCAATTTTCTCCGTCGGATGTCGTTAACATTTTTTACGACAATGCATGATGCCTGCTCTCTTATTCTTTCTTCGTACATTGCAAGTGCCTTAGCAGCAAGTAAAATATATGTCTGATAGCTTTAATTTCGAATTTTTAATTCTTTTTTTATGATATTTCAAATATTCGATTACAAAAAATTACACGTTCACTCTAATCAATACTCTAAAAACGTTTCACCAATATCGTTGACCATCAACAATTAATGTAATAATATTATAACCTTCCAGAAGTTTCATATTAATAACGGATATTCTAAGTATTACGACTCATAATAAACGTTTATAAAGCATTCAGATTCTTGATTGAGCTTATTAATGTTGCATAAAGCATTTAGATTCTCAATTAAACTTGTCGATCATGTTAATTTAACATAAAATTCAATATATTATTAACAATCTTGCAAAAAAATTTTATCCCTATAATTAATGAATCTTTGAATACGTAAAAATAAAATTTTTTTTTCATTTTTGTACAACTGAAGAAGCATACACGTGTTATGTCAAATATTATAAAAATAACAGCCGTTTAGAGAAATCATTAATAATTCAATATTGCATAAAATTTTCAGTTAAAATAGTGATAATCTTGTAGCATATTTGATCAACTAATTTTGTTTTTTTAATGGAAGTCGGTTATAAAATTTTGTCTTATATAATTTCTTTTATGAAAACCAAAAACTGTATTCTAAGATATATGGAAATAATTTTGAAGGAAAAATATTTAAACGGAGACATTGTGAAGTTTTATTATTTGCAATTAATTTGGAAGATATATTCGGAAGAAACATATTCATTTGCGTAATTTTTTTTTAATTAAAAGCAACGCTCGAAAGTTCAATATTCGTATTTTAATCTCGGATTTAGGTATCAAATATAGAATGTAATAGAAATGTAATGTAGAGAATAAGAACACTTGTAAAATTCATTACAGATGTATACATTAGGCGGTATACTTGTCATATAAAAATAAACCCGAAGAAGAAGTCATTGAGATGTGACAATTAATTTAATACTGGTTGATATTGTTAATTAAGCTGCGAGTTGTCTTGGGTATAAAAAAAAGTTGTCAATTCGAGACGGAGACATAACCTGAGAATCGAGAATCAATTAGTGTATCGACCGCGAGTGGAATTACGTCGTTATGCGCTGATTGGCTGCGGCAGAAATTCGTATTTGCCGAGCGAGTATGTGGCTGTGTGCATGTGTGCGAGTGAGAGGGGGAGAAAGAGAGGGAATTTCGAACAAGCTCTTTCGTCGCCTCCGTATAATGAAGCCATTGGAACGCTCGTGTGTAACGCGCGATAGTTCCCTTGGGCTCACCCACACATTTAAGTGCGCCTGTCGTATTCCAAGAAGCATAGCTAGACGAGGAAACGAACTTATCACGAGCACACATGAATTTCATTTTCTCACTCCCTCTCGAATTGGCTATAAGGATTTGTAATTTTCAGTAACTCGTATCATTTCACACAAATCATCCTTAAACCTTTAGTCTAATGTTCATTAGTTTGTTCAATTCATTGAGGGTTATATATATAGATATAGTGATAAACCGACGGCTATATTGGTTCAATACTCGCGCCAGAAAATGCTGATTCATCGATACTCGGACGCAGCTGATTTTTTGCTTCCTTTCTCACAAGGAAGATTTTGCTCTCGCAGGTGATATTGAAAGTTCTTTGGATGACTCAGTTTTTCATTAGTATCTCTGCATTGAATATCTTTCGGAATTATGTTCTCCGGTGGAACTTGCGCATTCATCGATTTTTTACATTTTGGAGTAATTCGTCGTCAGCAACTTTTTTTTCATTTTTCATACTCAACTTGAACTTTATAATGCTTGAGCTATATAGGACATCGTCCGATGATTAACATTAGAGGAGCATAAAAAAATTATTCATTAGCACGAGACATAATTATTGGATACGCATACATCTTTTCGGTAACTTTTTCCTTCATACTGATATTCACTATTTCCTTTGCATTTGTTTTTAATAACGTATAGCTATATAAATTCACAAATTTTAAGTCAAATGACTGACCATTTAATTGATACTGTATACATGACTGCGCAATAATTTGGTCAAAGATAATTGAATTTCAACTCATTTTAACATTAGATCACGGGTTTCAGTGATAATTTCTGCTAATCAATTGATGAAAATGAATTTTCCATTAATTCACAAAACTGATTATTACGGTTCTTATACATGAATACTCTGATACTAGTACATCTACAAAAGAGATAATATAATGAAGTTGAATATTGACAGAGCATAAGTTAACGAAAACTCGCCGATTTGATTGTTTGTATTAAAGCCAGGTTCATCTGTCGAGTTATGGCTCAAGCGCATGCAAAATAAAACTTGACCTCGTTACGGGGGTGGAGGCCACACGCAGTATTTATGTCGGTGGCCATTTTTCGAGAGGAGGGATACGGTATGCATTTATCTCATGGTTTCCACTCCACTTCACTATGCGACCTCTGACCCTTTTGCCGCGGCCACCGAGGCGGCTCTTTTTCATTCCATTTCCGCAAATCCCTTTTGCTCGCTTGTGCCATTTTTTCATACTTTCCTCTTCTCCTTGGCCTGCGCCTCGTAATCTCTGTATTTTTCTTTTACTCCCCCTAACAACCGCTTGCCTACCTCTCTTCTTCATTCCCAAAGCTCTGTGTTATATGTCTCTTTTCCTGTTTTATCTACATTTTTCATTTTTTAATTTAGGAGTTTCCAAAAAAAATTCTTTTTAATTTTTCGAAAAGCACTAGTTTTCACTTGTTCGAGTTAGAAAGTATGATTAACATAACAACAGAGAGACAGACGGATTGTTTTAGTCACATGTATATCCAAGAAATGCACAATAGGGAAACCATTAAATTTTACATGATAAGTAACACAAAAAAATATACTGAATGTAAAGGTCGTTTGTGTCAAATTTTAAAATACAATTTTTGATTATCAGCACATAAGTATTCATTTATATGAGTTTATGAGATTTCTTCATTTGCTTATATTTGTCACTCCTTTCAACTCGTTCTCCTTTCATTCATACCATCTGCTAGTTTTCATTTCAAACACAAAAATGTCAACTCTAAACTACAATTTCATCTTTTGAATTTAGTTACATATACAGTATTTATTGATGATTTGATTTTTATATTTTTATAGAATATTCCAATAACTAATTTTACCCTTATAGGTTTTTTGAGCTAGAGATTTGTGCAGGCTTTGCAAAATTTACCTCAAACTGCAAATGTTCTGTCATATCATGATAAAAAGCTTTTATGTCGTACACCCTTCGGAAAGTGATGAGGGAGACTGATCTTCATATCTCTTATAATTATAGAATCTAAAGCTAATGAGTACAGATACCTTATAAATTTTTGCAAATTTTAAATTATATATTAAAATAACTATATATTGAGAATGATTTCTTGAGCGAGTGCCTGAATTTTTCTATATATTTGTACATTCTATATATTAACATGAATTGTTAAAAGAATAACATTCAACTGTTAAAAACCGTTATAAAGCACTATAAAGTAATGTTGTCGAAATGCTTTTCTATTACAGACAGTTATAAATAGTATTCTTTTATGTGCTTGTTTCAGATTTATGAAGGAAGGTGACAAGCTGAGTCCTCAGCTTCGCAATCATCACCATGCATATTATCTTGCTTTTAGCAACTCTATTCTTAGAGGTGCAGCTCTACTTTCCAGGTAATAAAGCTCCATCATTTTAATGAGTGTACTTTTTCTCCATTTCACATACTTGAATAAACAATAACTAATGCAATTAAGAATTTTTCATGAATTGCGTGGTTATTAAAACCTATAAAAGCAAAAACTTAATTTTAACCGGAATTCGTTAGATTATCTTGAATATTGCAATATTATGTTTAAAAAATAATTAGTACGCGAAAATTTATTCAGCGTTAGACCAAGATAAATATTTTCAATATCTAACTAACGAATATTTGCAAAATGTCAAGCTATAAAGCGATAGCTATGTACAATGCCCGGAAAAAAAAGATTGTATTAAATGCAAATTTATCGGGAAAGCGCAGGTTCGGCTCGGACTAGTTTTCAATAAAGCTTGAAAGTTTTGAGCTGGAGCAAAAAGGAGAAGGGAAGCGCCGTGCGAGACTGGAGATGGCCGATCTGCAATTGAAAGGAAGAGCGCGAACGATAATTAAATCCTTTTTAGCAAGTATAAAACCGCACTTAAACGCGGGACAAGTTTTCTCACCTCCGGACAGTTGAACGGATTCGCTCGCCGTGTTTCAGCAAATCAAATAAATTACTGGGAGTTTCTCCCTTTTGTATCGCGCGCGCGCCGAGCAATCGGGAGCAAGCGGAGCGCGCGCGGATACTCGGCTACAAGATTTATTTTATGGACGTATAGCGCTCCGAGCCACGAAGAATGGAGGCGGGCTCGCTAACACGCGCTGCACCTTCCTCTTGTGCCGATTGCGTCGATGTATACCGACAGGAAGGAAAAGTCTTACGGGTAATCCTCGTGTCTCTTGTTACTTATACTGCAACGTACAAATTGTATTTTTTTCGGACACTAATACAGAACACTGGGCAATTGAGTTTTATTTTGTCATGGCCAGATTTTCAATAGATAATATAATCTGTTTTTCATTATTTGATATTTTTTTATTTAAAAAAAGCACGTAGAAAAGTTTCATTAAATTGTTGATTTGATTTTTTTTGCTGATCGAGCTATATAAATGCCTTTAAAGAATCGTCAATAGAATAGAAAAGTGCATAAAGAGGATATACTAGAGTAAATTTAAAACTTATGAATTTCCTGATCAAATTCAGTTATATATTCGGTATGTAGTCTATTTAAAATTATATTACAAAGCAAATATCAAAAATGCAAAAAGATTAATTTATTTTCCAAATTGTTGAATAAATTAGGTATCCAGATCGATATTTAAAACGCATTAATTGTAAGTAGATTTAAAAGAGGCAATTCTATTTAGAGTTGATATCTATGTACACAGTATGTGAACGTCATACGATAAATTAATTGAAAGTGCAACTGTAAGAGATGTGTAACAAAGTTGACTGACCAACGCTCGTTTTGCGAGTGGTATATACGTGTCACGAGTTGCCAACTGCTTAGTCAAGAGAGAAATTACGTTAACGTAAACTGTTAAAATTTATAAAAAAACTTATATCTATGTAAAGTGGACAGAGTTGTCAACGAATAAAAGAATGTCAGAATAGAAATACTGTTTTTATTTTTCTTTTTGTTTACTTAATCAAATTTATTTTAGAAATGCATAGTATTGCAAATAAACATAGATGCAATTTATATGTAACCAATAGATATTTAATGAAATGTATAAATTATCTAAATAATTATCACTTTATATATAGTTTATTATTATTCTATACAGCAGAATGAAGAATAATAGAAGAATAAACTATAAACATATGTATGGAAGTCTACTAACAATGATTAAAGAGTAACTTTTAGTAGAGAGAGAGAGAGAGAGAGAGAGAGAAATGTTACCACGCAAGAAAAAGTTTTCCTAACAAGAAACTCGCTGATCCAACTAATGAATTTTGGCCAACTTGTTTGACTTTCACGTTCCGGTAGAGAGAGAGAGAGAGAGAGAGAGAGAGAGAGAGAGAGAGAGAGAGAGAGAGAGGAAGAGTGAACAGACTATGAAAGGCGAAGTATGTTGCCGTGTGCAAGTTTTCTCGCCAGAAAACACTTGATTCGGCTTGGATCCGATGTCTGACAAGTAATTTCCGGTTATCGTGAGGGTTATCGCTTGCTCGCTCGCGCGCGAGAGAGTCCGAGTAACTTTCGTCTCGTTAGCCGTCTCTGGAAGTCTGCCCATTACAATGAGGCTTAATTGTTAGTCTCGAGACTTGCTAGCTTCCTGAGGCGATTTCTGGCTTGCTTTTCTACTACTTCCATCCGTCTTTCTGGATTATTTTATTATTGCCGTGCGATCTGACGATATACATTCTTTTATTAACCCTCGTGTTATTTAATGAAGATTGACTTTTTCCTTTAAAAAAGTTATAAGAAACGCTAATCCGCTTTTGTAGCTGTTATCATGCACTCATATCTAATGACTTTTCAACATCGAAGATATTCAATTTCAATAGAAAGAAGTCAATTATCAGCTGAACTAATAAACTCTATTTATATTTATCAGGAATTTCATTCAAAAAAATTTTGAAAGTCGAAAAATCCTATTATTTTTGAATTTATGATTTGCTTTACATAAATTAAAGTTCTCTACACGAATATCCTGGTCTCGAAAAATCTCTTTCTCTCTCAGCCAACTTTAGCGAATTTAACACTCGCAATTTCCAAGTGACACACATTATCACGGCATAATATTTGCGAAAGTCATTTAACTTGTAAAGGAGCATTTGAATCTCATTACCTTAACACATGTGCGCATATAATTCGCTGCTCCGAGTTGGAGTCACGAGTTGGCGCAATTAAGAAAACCTAAAACTCCATTCTAATTGTACAATTGAGTAGAAAAACATGTTTAATAAGTTTCAGTTTCGCGTGTGCAAATTCTCACGAAACTCGAGCTTGCGCTCGCAACACTTTTCGTGGTAGATTATTCTGGTCGGAAACATTAGTGAGAAAGTTAAGAAGCAGCGCAGGGGTATTCGGTGTCGGAGTAGAGAGGAAAGCCTCGAAGGCAAAGCCGTTAGAGCAAGTTTTTCCATGGGAGCCGGCCCCGTAAAACGAAAATAATACCAAAAGGAATTATGGCATTGTAGATTTTTGTACTAGTTAAGGGTTCTATTTATTGCTTGTCCTGATATCGGTGTCTGCTAATAGACGTTAGCACTTTTTGTTTATTCTGAAAAATTCGTTAGATTCATTACTGCATAATTTGAAGTCTTTTTTAATCAAAATCTAATTTCAAACTTTTTTCGTTATACTTATTTAAACATTAGTTTTTTTAATTTAATAATAGAATTTTTGTTGTTGGCTGATCGATGTAATAGTAAGTAACTGATCAATCAACGCTAAATTCTATATTTTCTGAAACTCCAATATTTTGAAGAACAAATTATTCACATTGAGGTTTAAGGTCGCACGGTTATTAAGATTATTATAGTTTTCTTTTTTGTAACCATAATTTTATTGATTAGTTATGTACGGACAAAGCCAAATAATAAGAATAAAAAATCTCACTAAATTTGCAAAGAATAATGCAGTAACTAATTGGTTTTTATTTTAAGACTGTTGATCAAAGTAGTGATTAAATAAGAGAACATCAAAAGTCCAAAGAAAAACTATCGATTAAAGTAGTGATTAAATAAGAGAAAATCAAAAGTTATAAGAAGAACAGTGAAGTATTATCAAGTTATGTAAAGATTGATGCAGTTATTGATTTACCTTTATCTATTGTATTATCTAAATTAAAATTCCAATATTGAGAGAGTCAACTCTTTTCGTAGAATCAAATGAAATCAACACCAAAAACTCTGTATATTATTCTTGTACTAATACATTCAACGGAGGTTGGCTTTCCATATTGGAATTTTAATTTATATCATAAATGTTGTTTCTTGTCAATTAAGGTTAAATGTCGATTAGTTAATCAAGTTATAGTAGATTGATATACAAATAAAGGCGAAGATGGAATATTCCGACTCCAATCTGGCTGATAAAGCACAACACAGATTGAGGATAATTTTTCTGTTTAATTCATCCTAACTTTAAAAAAATGTATGAATCATTAATATCTAGCATCGAAATCAGTTGATCCGAAGAAAGGGCTGACAAATGTCAATTTGAATAAACTTTTTAATATAAAATTTGATGTCTAATTGAAATATGCGACGGGTACGTTATTTAAAGAAAATAAGAGCATATATTTTGGAATTATACAAATTAGTTATTACAAATCGATTACATGATTCCTATATGTGAAATTGAAATCTACATTAATTAGTATTTTGTCATTTTTGTCGCAAAAAAGAAAGAAAAGGAGGAGGGGGAAGAAGCGATGGAGAGAGAGAGAGAGAGAGAGAGAGAGTGAGAAAGAGTAGAAGAAAGTACAGGAAAAAATATTTGTTATTTCTGTACGTTTTATTGAAAGAAATGCACTGACAGTAAAAACTTATTAGAATGTTGATTCAATTGAATTTCAAATATTTCCACAACTATTATGAATTAAAATACGCACAAATTTTAATATATTGTTGATAATACTCGAACACTGAGGTCATAAAATAATAGTATTTAATCAGGCTTGATACATTTTATCAATTATAGGTCTACTGAAAAATTCGGATAATTTTTCGATATATCTTGGAATTATTAAAGTTCATTGATTTTCGCCCAATGATACATGCAAATTGAATTTATATTTACCATTGAGTATCAGTCATGTTTTTTTAAATTGCATAATTTATCAACGTGTCTGTAGTAATACATTCTCATCGGTTTTTATCATTGACATGTAAAAGGTTTGAACAAAATAATAAATGCCGGATAAAGAAGGAAAACTCAACAACGCAATAATAATGCGATAGTGATAAAAACTGCAGGATAAAGCTCAGAAAATCCAAACTCAAGTATACCAGTGAATATGGAATGTGAGCTTATATTATTACATATACTGATGATCTCAAACACATTTAGAAGAAATTACAGTAGTCAAGTCGATGGATAATTAATATTCGGTTAAATAATGCCATCCTCAACATGAATT